CTCAAGCAGACTTTCCACTGAGTGTGGAGCCTGTCATGGGGCTTGATGTCATGACCCTGAGATCATGAGTCAGATGCTTAAATGACTGAGGCACCCAGGCTTTTTTCTGATATATGGCTGTCCACCTTTAATCTGTTAATGTGGTCAGTTACATTAATAGTTAATATTAAACCATCTTTGCATTTCTAGAATGAACTCTAACAGGTCATGATGTATTCTTTGTACACATTTATAGATTATGTGCATTAACTTTTAATTACTTATAAATTTAATTTCTCATGCTGTTCCTATCTAATTTGTTACAATTTTATATTGGACTTAAATAAAATAAAGTATTGCCTACAAAACAATGCTGGTGAGATGTTTTTTACTATATTATTTGGGGGCGTTGATAAAAAAAATTAAACATGCAATTTATTGGATTATAATAGATTTTTTTAAGATTTTCCATTTTTTTAAATCAGTTTGATAAAATTTACCATTTCATCTACATTTTAAATCCATGGGCATAATAATCATAAAGCATATCCCTTTATGATTTCTATATATTGTTAAGGACTCCCTTTTCATTATTAACATTCCTTGTTTTTATTTCCCTTTTTCCTACTCAGTATTTCTAGAAGTTTATCTATGTTCTTAGTCTTTAGTATACTGAATATTATTTCTTAGCTTTCCTTTTTGATATATTTTTCTATTTATTTCTATATTTTTGTTTTATTATTTACTTTTTACTTTCTTGAACTGGATGCTTAGCCCATTTTCTTTTCATTTTCTTCTTGCTAATATATTTTTCCAGGGTTATCCATCTCCTTCTGGTATATCTTTAGTAATATTGCTATTGCCATTCAGTTGTAAGTATTTTTTTTCTAATTTCTATATTTTGTCCTACAAACATGCATTAGTTAAAATATTTATTTTTTATCTTTTCTCTTTAAGATAAATATGTGTTTTAGCTTGCTTTGAACTAGCCTTTTTTAGACCCTATTTGGTAATGGCATTGTCAAACAAAGAGACTGTCTTTCAAAATCTGAAACAAAGAAGAGCTGAGAGTATTGCTTGCTAAACTAGAGAATGTTGCATTTTCAAAGCAAGTCTCTCCAAACAATGCAAGTACTCATTTTTTTTCTTAAATGGGGTTGTAAGTAGCAACCTCCAGGGATTAGTGGCCTTTGAGAAGAAAAATTGTCCTAAACCTATATGACTTTCAGCTGTGCAAACCTTGTTATTGGTGTGAGCTTGTTGTTGATGGACTTCCAAAATCATAGACTCTGTCTCTGATTGATTGAGATGAGTTTTAAAATTCAAAGCTATTTCTTGTGGTTGCACATTCATGGCCTGCAACTATGCCCAAGGAATTCTTTCCTTTTGGAGAATAGGGATTTTTATCCTGAGAAGCACTGGCCCTGCTTTGTCCATACTAGATTAAAGAATCTTGATAGCATTCATAAATCAGTATTCTGGAATTTGAAAATTTGAAAAAAAAAAAGAAGTAGCTAAGACTCACTGATACCATATTAGGAATAAACTAGATATGGTTTGCTAAGTGGTTAGAACATGGACATAGAGCAGTAGTGATATGTATTGGCAAAATTGTAGATATAGAACATGTCTAATTAACATTTCAGTATAGATATATTTAGTTAACTTCTGACTCTTCCTTTCTAAAATTAGTAGAGATGCTCTAAAATAAGCCAATAGGCTTGTATTCATTTGATCCTAGGAAGACTTCATTTTCCCTCCTCGTTTAATGCTGTCTCTTTCCCTGCTTAGTCTGTTTCAACATGATGACTTTCATGTGTCAAGGATAATTTAGCAATTCAGTGGATTTTTAATTTCTCTGAAATTGCTCAATAGTTGGAATTCAAATGTCGTCTATGCCAGTTTTGATAATAGCTGCTGTCTCTATGCACCATAAAATCAACCAGTGAGCCCCCCCACCCACATACACACACACACACACACACACACAAAGCTTAGGTCTCATCAAACTTAGTAAGTTTCTTGCTTTTCAGGCTCTACTCTGCCTGTGGAGGGCACGTTATAGAATAATTTTTCAGAAAACTGGAAGATTTGAATGATCAATGACTCTTTTAATATTTCTTACAATTCCACAAACTTGGAAAAGGAAAAATATAAATTGGTTTGTGTGGAAAAACATGATTCAGATTTATGGACCATTCCTTAAGGAATCAGAATGATGGGCTTAAATCCTGGGAGCAGGATTTCTTTCAAGCAACATAGGAATGATATGATTAATTCACTAGTAAGTGACAGGTTACCTCACAGAAATAACAAATTTTTCACCAACTTACAATTAACAGTGTATAAGCATACCTATTTCACTGAATCTTTGCAAACAATAGAAATGATATCCATCTCTTTAATTTGTGTATATATATATATATATATAGACACATATATGGATATACGTATACACATGTATATCCATATATGTATATACATATATATGTATATATGTATATCCATATATATGTGTATATATACATATATCTTATGAATTTGAGTATCACTATGACTTGGTGAAATGAGAGATATGGTTGGAAAGCAGAAGAGAAAGATAATGCCTTATTCAAAGAGAAGGGAGTACTGAGGCATGAGGCAAAGTGCCACTGAATATCAAGAAGGTAAACTTGTATGGAAGTCAGTACCCTAGATCATGATGAGGACCACTAGAGGATGTGATTAAGGTAAAAGTGCAGCAAAAGTAGTATCACTGAAAAATTGTTCTTGAAATCTGGCAAAACGGAAAAGTGTATTTTTAATATCAGTTATAAAACTGATATAGTGTGAGAATTTTATGAAAATTCCAAATATGTGGATATTTTATTCTGCTTAAGAAAACTATTTTATAATTACCTACCCTGCTTACAGTTTAATCTTCTGAAAAAAAGTAGCTAAATAAATAAGAAAAATTCTACTTAGGATTCAATTTTGAGCAAAAAAAAATTATTATAAAATGTGAGTAAATGAAGCCTTTGGAGAAAATGAATATTTTATGCTTTGGGTTAAACCAGTAAGAAAGGCTAGAGATATACATATATCTGAGATTGGAAGGAAATACTAAATATTCTAAACAAACATAAAGATTTCATAGGAAAGCTACATATATCTTACTGTTCCACCAGAAATTACTCTGAATTTTCAGGTAATTACTAGATAAAATATGTTGGAAAAAAATTTTTTAAGATTTTATTTATTTATTTGACAGAGAGAGAGAAACAGCAAAAGAAGAACACAAGCAGGGGGAGTAGGAGAGGGAGAAGCAGGCTTCCCGCGGAGCAGGGAGCCCAATGCGGTGCTGGATCCTGAAACCCTGAGATCATGACCTGAGCGGAAGGCAGACGCTTAATGACTGAGCCACCCAGGCGCGCCTGAAAATTTTTAAAGCAATGTTTCACAAACATATCCTCTTTTGCTGTCATGATCAATATGACTTAAATGAACATAGTGAAACATTCAAACAGCTCAAAAACTAATTTTTTAAATAAAAACTAACTCACTTTTTTTCAAACAAGAAAAACAAATCTTTGTGCATTTCTAGACTGCCAGACTCACCTCTAGAGATAACCATTAGCAAGAGTTTCTTGTGCTTTCTTGCGGAAGATGTGCAGGGATATCTATTTATCTAGATATATACACCTAGATAGATGTATATATATGTATATATATCTCTAGATATATATGTGTGTGTATATATATATATATATATGCAGATAATATTTGTTACTTTAATTATGTTGCCACAGATAAAAGCTCACTAAATGCACCATTCAGTAGCTATTAGGAGGCCATGTTATGTATGATTATAAGTATTGACTCAGGACAACACAAATGATTTGAATAGAAATCCAAACTCAGCCATTTGCCAGCTATGTTACCATGGGAAAGTTATGTAATTTCTCTCTGCTTTATTTTCCATATTTATAAAAGTGTGGATGATAAAATAGTATTTACTGCATAGGGCTATTAAGATAAAAATGTATAAAATCATATGAAACAGAACAGTGCCACATAATAAAAATAATTCAATAAAGATTAGCTACCATTATAGTATTATCCTACTTTTCTCATTTTTAAAGGTATCTTAGAGATTTTCTCCTATTTGCACATACAGATCAATCTTATTCTTTTTCAAGGTTACATGGTATTTTTCCACTTGGTGAGCACTGGTGGACATTGTGATGATCAGTAAAACAGTATCATCATAATATGTTTATTTTACATGAATGTGAAAAATATACTTAAGATTATAGTCTTAAAAGGAGAATTACTGGTTCAAAGAATATAACATATATCATATATATAAATAATGACCCACGCAGATAGTGACAAAAATCTTTACAAAATATACTAAATAGTTTAAGATGCACTGGGGAAAGGATTGTGGAAAGTACTATAAATAACAATTTTTTTTTTACAATTATGTTTGGAGCACAGACCACAAAGGCATAGGCTTCTGGTTGGTTAATGATGACAAGAAGAAAAATTAATAAGAATAGAACACCTAATACCCATATTTTCCCTCTCTCTTCTCCTTCAGAGATATGTTCTCCAAATGAAAAAGCTGAAAACCTAAAATCCAATATGTGCAGAAAGACAACGTGTACCTTTCTAGATGCCTTAGAAAGTTGTGGATGAGGTTATTCAATGATCATTGAGAGTCAGCTATCTTGAGGTGAAAAATGCCCAGGATCTGAGATTGGAGGACCAGGTGAAAGTTTTTATTTCTCCTAATGATCTAGTGGGTGTCTTTTACCAAGCTCACTTTCTGAATTTATCTTCCTCAATTGTAAAATAAAATATGAAGGAGAAGAAAAACAATATTTATTGCAAAGGATGATTTTGAGAATTAAATAAGTATTGTAGTTCGCTCTTATCTGCGGTTTTGCCCTCCTGGGGTGAACCCAGGTGTAAATGCAGATGCTCCTCCTCCTGACGTAGCGTCATGTTGTGTCACAATGCCTACATCACTCACCTCACTTGGTCTCATCACATAGGTATTTTATCATCTCACATCATCACAAGAAGGGTGAGTGCAGTACAATAAGATATTTTGAGAGAGAGACCACATTTACCTAACTTTTATTACAGTATGCTCTTATAAATGTTCTATTATTACTTATTGTTGTTAATCTCTTACCATGCCTAATTTATAAATTAAACTTTATCATAGGTGTGTACAGATAAGGAAAAACAGTATTCATGGGATCCGGCTCACTCCACAGTTTCAGGCATCCAGTGGGGGTCTTGGAATGTATCCCCCATGGATAAGGGGGTAAACACTGTAAATTTTACAAATAATAGTTGTTATTGCTAATAATACTTTTGAAGACTATGAGAAATGCCAAAATATTAGCTGTCAAAAGTACTCATGATTTTTTAAAAAAGCAGAGGGAAGTGAGGTTAATGTTTGAGTCTCATATATGTATAAAAAATATCTCCAAATGTAATGAAGGCTTTAGAAAGACAAATTGTCAAAAATTCACCTACACAAGACATAATAGACTAGTCTCATTTCCTTTTTTGAGAGAAATACTAGAATAATACAGTAGGAAATACGTTGGGTGGAGAATATCTGAAATCTAGGAAGTCATTTGAAAAAAATCTCTCAGAATATTCTTATAGACAAGATGAAAAACTTAACTAGTTTACTCAAGTGTGACCAGAATCATACACACAAAACAAAAGTCACTTGATAATCAGTGGAGCAAGTTAAAGTTAGTGACTTTTATAGACTACTATTTTTATTCCTTTCTACCAAAAGTTGTATCTGTCACTTCTTTGAAAATAGAGAACAATAACCTACCAAATGGGGAGCTGATATGAGAACTGAAATGTACAGGAGACAACTTCATTGAGAAATAGAATGAGGAGCCAGGGGATTCTCACATGCAGAGCATAAAATGTATCATGCAATGGCACAGAAGATGAAATTAATAAAGAAGAAGTTTATAATTACCACAAAAATAAAATATGGGAAGATACAAGTTAGCTGCATCAAGATCGCAAAAGCTGGAGATTCTACAGGGCAGCGGAGTGTATTACAAGTAAGCTATGTTGTATGATTTTCCAAAATGCTAACAGATTCTGAGACTACACTGTAATAAAAGTATAGTGTCAAGATTGAAGGAAGTTATAGTCCCTTTCAATCTCAAGTTGCTAAATTCGTGTGAGATATTTTGTCGAAGCAAGAGACAATCGCATTTTCAGAAAGACTTTGATAACCCTGAGAACATTCAGATGGAAAAGGACAGAGTAGTGGGAACTTTAAAATCATGGATGAGATCTACTTAAATGAACTGGAAATTTTTAACACAAAGAACTAAGAGAAAGAGATTTTGGCTTTCCTTAAATATCAAGAGAACTACAGGGTTAGACATATCCTATGTGTTATTACAGTGGGAGTCAAAAACTTATGTGTGAAGTTTACAAGGTGTTTGACATCACCAAAACTAAAATGAAAAATTCTTGCAATAACTAGGATCATTTCATAACTGAGTGATGAGATATTCTTGCACTGGAGTTGTTCATGAAGAAAATGGGGCAGTCACTTAGAGAAGTAACTCCTTAAGGATTTGAACCCTCTTATTTTTAAGATTGTATAATTGTCTATCAACTACTTTTTTTTTCTTGTCTAGTTTTTCACTGTCTTTTTTTATTTTTTGAACAATTGCAAGTATTCCATTTTTAATTTTTTTAAATTTTATTATGTTATGTTAATCACCATACATTACATCATTAGTTTCTGATGTAGTGTTCCATGTTTCATTGTTTGGATATAACACCCAGTGATCCATTCAATACATGCCCTCTTTAATACCAATCACCAGGCTAACACATCCCTGCACCCCCTTCCCCTCTACAACCCCCACTTTGTTTCTCAGAGTCCATAGTCTCTTATGGATCTTCTCCCCCTCCAAAACCCCCCCTTCATTTTTCCCTTCCTACTATCTTCTTCTTTTCTTTTTTTTTTTAACATAAAATATATTATTGTTTCAGAGGTACAGGTCTGGGATTCAACAGTCTTACACAATTCACAGCACTCACCATAGCACATACCCTCACCAATGTCTATCACCCAGCCACCCCATCCCTCCCACCCCCCACCACTCCAGCAATCCTCAGTTTGTTTCCTGAGATTAAGAATTCCTCATATCAGTGAGATCATATGATATATGTGTTTCTCTGATTGACTTATTTCACTCAACATAATACCCTCCAGTTCCATCCATGTCTTTGCAAATGGCAAGATTTCATTCCTTTTGACGGCTGCATAATATTCCATTGTGTATATATACCACTTCTTCTTTATCCATTCATCTGTTAATGGGCATCGTGGCTCTTTCCATACTTTACCTACTGTGGACATTGCTGCTATAAACACTGGGTGCATGTACCCCTTCGGATCCCTACATTTGTATCGTTGGGGTAAATACCCCATAGTGCAATTGCTGGGTCATATGGTAGCTCTATTTTCAACTTTTTCAGGAACCTCCATACTGTTTTCCAGAGTGGTTGCACCAGCTTGCATTCCCACCCACAGTGTAGGAGGGTTCCCCATTCTCCACATCCCCGCCAACATGTGTCATTTCCTGACTTGTTAATTTTAGCCATTCTGACGGGTGTGAGGTGGTATCTCATTGAGGTGTTGATTTGGATTTCCCTGATGCTGAGCGATGTTGAGCACTTTTTCATGTGTCTGTTGGCCATTTGGATGTCTTCTTTGGAAAAATGTCTGTTCATGTCTTCTGCCCATTTCTTGACTGGATCATTTGTTCTTTGGGTATTGGGTTTGATAAGTTCTTTTATAGATTTTGGATACTAGCCCTTTATCTGATATGTTATTTGCAAATATCTTCTCCCATTCTTTAGGTTGTCTTTTGGTTTTGTGGACTGTTCTTTTGCGGTGCAAAAGCTTTTGATCTTGATGAAGTCCCAATAGTTCATTTTTGCCCTCGCTTCCCTTGCCTTTGGCGATGTTTTTAGGAAGAAGTTGATGAGGCTGAGGTCGAAGAGGTTGCTGCCTGTATTCTCCTGTAGGATTTTGATGGGTTCCTGTCCCACATTGAGGTCTTTCAACCATTTTGAGTCTATTTTTGTGTGTGGTGTAAGGAAATGGTCCAGTTTCATTCTTCTCCATGTGACTGTCCAATTTTCCCAACACCATTTGTTGAAGAGACTGTCTTTTTTCCATTAGGCATTCTTTCCTGCTTTGTCGAAGATTACTTGACCATACAGTTGAGGGTCCATTTCTGGGCTCTCTATTCTGTTCCATTAATCTATGTGTCTGTTTTTGTGCCACAACCATACTGTCTTGATGATGACAGCTTTGTAATAGAGCTTGAAGTCCGGAATTGTGATGCCACCAGCTTTGCTTTTCTTTTTCAACATTCCTCTGGCTATTCGGGGTCTTTTCTGGTGCCAAACAAATTTTAGGATTATTTGTTCCATTTCTTTGGAAAAAGTGGATGGTATTTTGATGGGGATTGCATTGAATGTGTAGATTGCTCTAGGGAGCATTGACCTCTTCACAATATTTGTTCGTCCAATCCATGAGCATGGAACGTTTTTCCATTTCTTTGTGTCTTCCTCAATTCCTTTCATGAGTATTTTATAGTTCTCTGAGTACAGATTCTTTGCCGCTTTGGTTACATTTATTCCTAGGTATCTTATGGTTTTGGGTGCAATTGTACATGGGATCGACGCCTTAATTTCTCTTTCTTCTGTCTTGTTGGTGTATAGGAATGCCACTGATTTCTGTGCATTGCTTTATATCCTGCCACTTTACTGAATTCCTGTATGAGTTCTAGCAGTTTTGGGGGGGGGTCTTTGGGTTTTCCACATAAAGGATCATATCATCTGCAAACAGTGAGAGTTTGACTTCTTCTTTGCCAATTTGGATGCCTTTGATTTCTTTTTGTTGTCTGATTGCTGTGGCTAGGACTTCTAATACTATGTTGAATAGCAGGGGTGATAGTGAACATCCCTGCTGTGTTCCTGACCTTAGGGGGAAGGCTCTCAGTTTTTCCCCATTGAGAATGATATTCGCTATAGGTTTTTCATACATGGCTTTTATGATATTGAGGTATGTACCCTCTATGCCTATATCTGAAGAGTTTAGAACAAGAAAGGATGCTGTACTTTGTCAAATGCTTTTTCTGCATCTATTGAGAGGATCATAGGGTTCTTGTTCTTTCTTTTATTAATGTATTGTATCACATTGATTGCTTTGCAGGTGTTGAACCAACCTTATTAGCGAGTATTTTGGTGAGAATTTTTGTATCCATGTTCATCAGGGATATTGGTCTGTAATTCTCCTTTTTGATGGAGTCTTTGTCTGGTTTGGGGATCAAAGTAATGCTGGCCTCATAAAATGAGTTTCGAAGTTTTCCTTCCATTTCTATTTTTGGGAACAGTTTCAGGAGAATAGGTATTAATTCTTCTTGAAATGTTTGGTAGAATTCCCCTGGGAAGCCTTTGGCCCTGCGCTCTTGTTTGTTGGGAGATTTTTGATGACTGCTTCAATTTCCTTAGTGGTTATAGGTCTGTTCAGGTTTTCTATTTCTTCCTGGTTCAGTTTTGGTAGTTTATATATCTCTAGGAATGCATCCATTTCTTCCAGATTATCTAATTTGCTGGTATAGAGACGCTCATAATATGTTCTTATAATTGTTTGTATTACTTTGGTGTTGGTTGTGATCTCTCCTCTTTCATTCATGATTTTATTTATTTGGGTCATTTTTCTTTTCTTTTGGATAAGTCTGGCCAGGGGTTTATCAATCTTGTTAATTCCTTCAAAGAACCAGCTCCTAGTTTTGTGGATCTGTTCTACTGTTCTTTTGGTTTCTATTTCATAGATTTCTGGTCTAATCTTTATTATTTCTCTTCTCCTGCTGGGTTTAGGCTTTATTTGCTGTTTTTTCTCCAGCTCCTTTAGGTGTAGGCTTAGGTTGTGTATTTGAGACCTTTCTTGTTTCTTGAGAAAGTCTTGTATTTGCTATATACTTTCCTCTTAGGACTGCCTTTGCTGCATCCCAAAGATTTTGAACAGTTGTGTTTTCATTTTCATTTGTTTCCATGAATTTTTTTAATTCTAACAATTTTACAATTGTTAGATCTTCTTGTTGGATAGACCCTCTAATAGGATATAGTGTCCTTCCTCATCTCTTATTACAGTCTTTGGTTTAAAATCTAATTTGTCTGATATAAGGATTGCCACCCCAGCTTTCTTTTGGTGTCCATTAGCATGGTAAATGGTTTTCCACCCCCTCACTTTCAATCTGGAGGTGTCTTTGGGTCTAAAATGAGTCTCTTGCAGACAGCATATCAATGGGTCTTGTTTTTTTATCCAGTCTGATACCCTGTGTCTTCTGATTGGGGCATTTAGCCCATTTGCATTCAGGGTAACTATTGGAAGATATGAATTTAGTGCCATTGTATTGCCTGTAAGGTGACTGTTACTGTATATTGTCTGTGTTCCTTTCTGGTCTATGTTGCTTTTAGGCTCTCTCTTTGCTTAGAGGACCCCTTTCAATATTTCTTGTAGGGCTGGTTTCGTGTTTGCAAATTCTTTTACTTTTTGTTTGTCCTGGAAGCTTTTTATCTCTCCTTCCGTTTTCAATGACAGCGTAGCTGGGTATAGTATTCTTGGCTGCGTATTTTTTTCATTTAGTGCTCTGAATATATCATGCCAGTCCTTTCTGGCCTGCCTGGTCTCTGTGGATAGGTCTTTTGCCAATCTAATGCTTCTACCATTGTCTTGTCCTGAGCTGCTTTCAGGATTTTCTCTTGTCTCTGAGACTCATAAGTTTTACTATTAGATGTCGGGGTGTTGACCTATTTTTATTGATTTTGAGGGGGGTTCTCTGTGCCTCCTGGATTTTGGTGCCTGTTTTCTTCCCCAAATTAGGGAAGTTGTCTGCTATAATTTGCTCCAATATACCTTCTGCCCCTCTCTCTTTCTTCTTCTTCTGGGATCCCAATTATTCTAATATTGTTTCATCTTATGATATCACTTATCTCTCAAATTCTGCCCTCGGGATCCAGT